GAGATCGCATACGTCATTAAAATACGTATACAAGTAGAAAACAGTTATTTGCAATAGTATCACTTGTTAGCATCTACACCGAAACGTCGCATCTACTCCACTAAAGTTGTCTATGCATAAAATTGTTCCTCTTCAGTATTTCAATAGTTAAAATCCTCTGTCGCGAAAACACGATCAAGCAGAAAGAAAGTCATTGGCAATAATACTTTCAATCATGTGACGTGGTGCTCAAGATCATGAGATTGACCGAGCGCTTCACGAACCTACTGATGTTTTGTTGGCCAAAGAACGTCAATTATGTTGAATTATGATGAGCTTGAAGACGAATCAACTAATACATAGATATAAACAGACTTGGGTATCACGGTATTTAGAGTCTAGATGAAATTGAATTGAATTTAGATTTAATATATATTATTATTTAGAGAGTCTCCTCCATCGACTATACGAGTGCATGAATGTTCACAAGGTTATGTTCGTTTCAGATCGGTGTAATCTACGCCAAATTTAGGTACACGCTATTTCACACATTGAACCCGCGTGGGGAATCGAACCCGGGTCTTCAGCGAGACGAGCGGACGCTTTAACGATTAGGCTACCCCACCGACCCTTATTTTTCATGTAAATTACCAAGAAATGAAAAACACACATCACGCAGCTATCGTGGGAGATAATGAAGAGGGTTCACACGTGCACGGGTACCAAGACGTCAGACTTCAGTCACAGTCAGTGCCGTACTCAAGATGCATAATGTGGACCCGTGGTGAAGTGAGTGAGTGAGTGATGCTTTACGCCGCTTTTAGCAATATTTCCAGCAATATCACGGCAGGGGTACTCCAGAAATGGACTTCACACATTGTATCTTGAGTGATGGAGTCCTCCCATGTCATTTTCTAATGCATGTGTGTGCGTGCGTGCATGTTCATTCGAATGTGCATGTGTGTGTTGGTGACATTGGTCACGCCAAAGACCCGGGATTGATTCCCAACATGGGTACAATATGTGAAGCCCATTTCTGGTATCCCACCGCCGTGATGTTGCTGGAATAAACCAAAAGTCAGGCTCATAACGTTTAGTTCTCGCACGAGTTAATGACTCTATTCTTACAATGAAAACATTATATATTTTTGTCGTTAAGGGAGTCTCCCTGTTTTAGTGATGCATGTGATCGTATCCCAATTGTGTAGATCGATGGTTGGTCACTGGATCGTCTGGACCACACTCAAACACACAACAAACAAACAAACATATATTTGGACATGCATCAAATCAGAAACAGAACTACACATAGAAGCAGGATATCAAGAATGTGGAATGTTTATTGATTAATTACATTTCAATCACAGCAAGTTGATAAGTGTCGTTGTACAAATGAGAGTTGGATTAACTAAAAAATAGAATCATTAAAAAAGGCTACTTGTCTGAAAACAGTGGCCGAAAACACTGCACACCTAAGACCAAAATAGAACTATGACATCCGAACCAAATATGCTTTTTAACGAACAAATTATGTCTCGTTTCATTTCACACTTTAGCCACTATAAAGCATGGATGTATACCTTTCTTGCCTGGTAATTTAGTATAAAATTAGTAATATAAATATAATACAATAATGGATTTCGACGGCGCCTGGAATCCTACTCGAAGCTGTTTCAACGGCGCATCACAAAGTCAACCCTGGATAACCCAAGCTGCCTGTTAGGCGCCTAGAAGGTTATAGTCATGACATATCCCACCGGGTACCCATTTTTCTGCTAGGTGAACAGTGGCAATTTTGAATAAACTCACTTGCCTAAGGTGAGACCATATGTACCACATTTGGTTCGTTGTGGGGCAGGACCGATGTCCTAGAAACTCTCAGGAGTCAAGCTGCTAAATATGGTCACTCCATCCAAAGGACTCTCCGCGCCCCAACGTTGCTTAAGTTCAACTGATGTGTGACCTGAGCTCTATGCACAGGACCGGAACACCACCACAAAATCCAATACTATTGAAATCAAATTATCAAACAACAATATATAAAGCGCAAGCTACAGATTGCTATGAGTAACAAATAACTTTGGGGAATTTGTTTACCACTGCCAATTCAATGACCCAAGTGAAACGTGGGTTGTGTTTGAGCTCAGTTGTGTTAAAAACAAAGAATAATCAATAATTATGATAACAATGACACATCTACGGCTTAGTTTTACGGCTAATAGTTATCACTGCTGACGGATCAGTGTACGTTTTGTTTATATTTTAAGCTCCCGGTGTGGCATTCAGTATTTGAATTTGAATGCCAGAGAACAATAATACAAGTCTCTATTATTTAGAACAGCCAGGGATATATTTTCCATCTAATTCTGTGAAAGCACGTTTCCCTCACAGAGAGGTGCAGATGCTTAAAACCACCACTGAATATTCGGGAAATTAAACTAAACTGACGTACAAAGGAAAGTTCACATTTGATGCTTTGGTATCATTAAAAAACAACAACGTAAATGTGTTGAAAATACACTCCAAAATATGTAATTGGTTTACTTTGGGAAATAGTATCAAAACACCAGATGTGTACTTTCTTTTGGGGAGTCGGTTTAGTTTTCATTTTGAAATTATAGCACTAATATACAAATGGAAAATATGTAACTGTTTCATATAAATGTAATTGCATCGAAAATATGAACATAATGTTTCGCATTTGTTAGCAACTGGTAACCTGGGACAGAGCAACGCACAAGAAAAGACAAGGGGTTAATTGCTCATTTAACGTTATCAATATCGGTTCTAACCTTCACCTTATTTAACACAGGCAAATACTAGCGGCGATGTGTTAAGAGAAGCGCTTTGTTTGAAAATTGTTTGGTGAAGTCTGATCCGAATGACGATCGAAGAATGGCTCAAATAAGCTACCATTACAAACTAATTCTGGTCCTGTCACAGGCGTCGTACCATTTCATTTCCCATCGGCGCATCAAAAGAACACACACACACACACACACACACACACACACACACACACACACACACACACACACACACACACACATCTTATGTCATGAAAGTTGATTAAATGACCACTAAATCTCTCGTGAAAACAGGTGAAAATGAACTCCTACCTAAAGGCTGTACCCGCCCCTGATTCCTGACATACACTAAACGCCAAAAGAAACGTTAGCCTCCTTCCTTAATGACGGAGGAGCCTATCTTCAGCTGGCGTGGTGATGCGTGGACGTCCACTTCTTGGTCTGTCTACGGTGATCCCAGTCTTTCTGAAGCCCTGAATAAGTCTTATAGCCGTGATACAGTGGCACCCGAGGGCGTTGGCAACAGCATTGTATGTCGATCATGTCTTCTGGGCTCTCTTTATACCCTATAGAATCATTCTACTTGTGAAACGGATGTAAATACTGCTTGAATATTGTTGCGTTTTGGCGATTGATATTACTATGTGTAAACAGAAAATGGAAAAATGTTACTTTGCAAGGAAAAATGATAATTTTAGATGTTCCTAAACACTTTTTTACAATATCAAAGACACGTTTCACTTGTTTTCACTCATGCAAATCAGCAAAAAATGTTTTAAAAGACTGAAACCATAGCAATGATTAGCTTACAATTTTACACACTCTACAACAGTAAGTCATGCAAATCAGCAAAAATGTTTTAAAGACTGGAAACCATAGCAATGATTGAAAACACAATTTTGCACCTCTACAACAATTAAGTCATGTTGTGAAGCTAGTTGAAAATGGTGACTTAAATGGTTTATCATTGTCCCAAAGCAGAATTTTATTTCAACCTTTCTTTTGGACATAAAATCCACTATTACTAGTTTATTTCGGCATGGAGGAATATCATTCTCTTCCCACAGAGGTTACTCCTGTCATATCTTCCAATGCAACCTCTGTTCTAATACGACACTTTCAGTGGTTGCGAGTGTTCTGGATTCGTTGATTGGTTTGCAATCAGATTTGGTTTTGTGCAATCAGCGACGTTGCTTCAAAACTGATCATTCGCAAAGCCTCGGTAATTTCCGTATGCCTCTGTAAAACTAGAACCTCTTCCCCACGATGCGCAAACGATTCTTATAGAAAGAACCCGCGTCATGATGGTAATGGCGAATCAAAGGCGTCTCCATCGTCAATATCGTTGACAACGGACATGTTGGCCATTAAATGTCTTGTATGTCCAGATCAACAAAAACATCTTGTCGATTGATGGGAGCAATATAGGACAATTTAACTCTTCTGAAAAAGATGCATTTCACCAAAATATGAATGCATTTGAGAATTTTGTTCGTGATTTGCAAAAAGCTGTGTTGTTAAGCTTTCTTGTCAACTAAAACCTTCTAAAATATCTTTGATAGTTTTTCAGTAATTCATAAAGGTACGAGGGTAACGTATCATTTGGCGTCTAGTGTATAATGGGGTGCGATCTGGATAAGCAGCCGGCTATGGTATGAGGGAATATATTATGTATTTAAGGAACATGGTAAACTTGCTACAGCCAAATAGATCTCGTATTTAAACATTACATAAAATAATACTTGAGCTACTAACTCGACATGAACAAAATTTCACTATTTTAAACAAAAATGTAGAATCGACATAACTAGCGTATCCATTACAGCGTCCGCGGTGACCGGATTCAAACCCATTGAACAGACCCATCCCAGGTGTCATGGGATAATTGGGGAGTCGGTATCGGTGGGATCATAAGTAATGAAGTTTCAGCTTCATTACACAGTTGTGTCTGACGAGAATATGTTCAACACAGACAAAGTTTACGAAACATAAGCACTGAATCAGATGAGCAAAGAAATGTGTACGCTGGTGGCGTACTTTGGTCCCAAATAATTACAATACATACATTTTTACCTCGATCTTTTCAGCGCCAATCATGAACTGAATTCATATTCATATACGTAGGTATCTCAGTGGGCTAGCACTATAAAACCAGCTTCAGTCTGGGCTAGTACAAGCAGCCGCACCTACACATACACACGCATGCACATCGTCATATGAGCGAAATATTTTCAAGCACGACGTTAAACCCAATTTCACTTCACCTCACCTCATTTACGTAGACGGTTCGATCTCACGGCAGATGAATGGCAGGAGGCAACTTTACTAATGATATTTCTACTTCAATACCAAAGTCATTTTAGTCTCATCAGCCCTTGTGCAAAACATCAAGTTGACATTAATTAAGTACATTACAGAGTAAAACACGTCTATAAAGTATATCTAAAAATATGTTCTTGATCCTTGACAACCGTCTTGTAGACGCTTTTAACGGGTCATCTTACGAGTAAAGGAACTCAATGACGTGAAAATATCCGTCATGATCAACGTGTATAGTTGCCGGTTGAGCTCCAGCAACTCGCTCGGTGAAGTTGTACATGCTTGTTCCATCGAGTGCAACCTGAAGGAAGCCCAGATAAAATGCTCACATTATTCAGGCAGACATATTGTGTAAGCGCATACATAAAACTGTTTCAGCTGCAGTAATTCATTACATACTCCACACAATGGTTCTCCAGTTTCAATACCCGTAGAGATCCGGGTTAGAATTGATCTTCAGGAACCCATGCTTGTCGTATGAGGCAACTAACGGGATCGGGTGGTCAGGCTGGCTGACGTGGTTGACACATGTCATCATATCCCAATTGCGTAGATCGATGCTCATGCTGTCGATCACACGATTGTCTGGTCCAGACTCGATTATTTAGAGACCTCTGCCATATAGCTGGACTATTGCTGAGTGCGGCGTAAAACTAAACTCACTCACTCCAAAGTAAAACGTAAACGTAAACCTTGCTCACATTAGAATAGATATTATTGACATACTTACATTGTATATTCCATTGTCCAGAGTGACTTGGACCTCATATTCCTGCCCCAGATTCGTACGGACATCTCGAATGAAGACCGTTGATTGCCAAACGCCATTAAACCTAGAGCTCATAGTCAATGTGTCCACATGACCAAATATGTTAATACGGAACTCTACAGCTATGAGGATATCGTCTTCCGCCATCAGGGAAAAGCTCCATCTACAAATGAAAATGTGTATTAAGAATTGTATAAGTCCCATAGGAAACACATTGTCAATGCATCTTGATACAAGGGTGGTGGGGTAGCCTAGCGGTTAAAGCGTTCTCTCGTCACACCGGATACCCAGGTTCGAATCCTGACATGGTGCCGCATTCACTCTTGATACATGGATAGCGCTCGGAAAAAGGTCAGTGGGCTAAGCAGATGGTCAAGTTCAAGGAATTTGCAATGTACGTTAGCTGCTTTAAACTGCCGTGTGTAATCGTGTTCTTGACATGTGACACTGATCTACATCCCTTGAAATTTGCAAGTATAACATAACAACGACTTGAACACGCCACTTGGCGATGAAACATGTCTGACAAAGTCATTACTACAATATATAATAGTTGATTCACGACGTATATGTTTAGGGCAAATATGCTACCGAAAAGTAGAACAGAACCAAGAACATTTAAAACATTCTAAAACCATAAAGTTGGTCAGAAATTACAGTCAGGACACATGTCCGTCATAATCTGATCTCAGGTCATCACCATGGAGTAGCCAATCCCAGTTATCTGACATGGGTTTAATACCCACAGCCATGCAAGATAAACTAGTGCCCAAAAGAAACTATACAACGGAACATATTGCATATAAATTCACAAAAATATAAATGAAGTGATGAAACCGAGCCATGTCACACACGTACAGGCCCATCCTTTCCGGGGAAAAACGGCGAAACAAGCTAACGAGTTTTTCTGATGTAACTCGAAAAGCACACGCATACTGACTGTATAAAACAGCCCATGCGACACGTGTGCAAAACAGTAATAAACAGAACACCAAAAATATGCCACGTTTGAGGCACACCGAAAGAGAGAGCTGTCGGAATGGCCCAACAAGGAGCTAACCACACCGTCATTGCCAGAACCTTCAGCTGCACCCGAAGAACTGTCATCAGACTGATCGATGAAACGACTAAGACAAACAGGCACTACGTCAGACAGGCCTAACAGTTCTCAACCACGTGTGACAACGGCCGGTGATGATCGTCACATCCGGACAATCTGTCCGAGAAACTGTAGCATCGAATACTCTATTGAAATTAAACAGATGCACATTTATATGCTGACCCAAAAACGTTTAGCACGTTATCTTTTGAATGAAGATTTGTAGTGAAGATTTGCTTGTGCCAAAAGTCCAGGATGATGTCAAACAATGAGGAAATGTTAACTCTACCAAATACGGTCAATGGTTGGGCGATAGTTGTAGCGTGTTGACAACCCGGATGTTGCATGTGCAAATCACGTTGTCGTGAATTCACGACCATTGAGTGCGTTCTGAGGAGCATAAAAGGGTGGATGTCGCACACTGACATCACTGTTGCAAGAAACCGAACAGTGATAAACGCAGTTGACCATGGGGCGTCGGCCAGGATTGAATGGAAATCAACGCCGTGAAGCCATGGGGCTATTACATGCGGGACAGAGTGTGAGGGTCCTCGCCAGACAGTACCAGGTCCATGAAAGCACGATTCGGCAACAGGTGCAACAGACTGGTGAATTTGGGGATCGACCCAGGTCAGGAAGGCCTCGTGCACCTACCCCACGTGGAGATCGTCATCTTGTGAGGTCATCGAGACGTCACAGGACGATGAGTGCAGCACGTCAAGCCAACGAGCTACGACAAGCAACGCATTCATGCCCAGACAGTCGGAAATCGCCTTCATGCCGCAGGTTTACATGCGCATCGACCGGTAGTGGCGTGCCGTTGACACAACGTTATATAAACGAAAGGCTGAGATGGGCGCAATTGATCAACGTTGACGACGGCAGCAGTAGAACCAGACATTATTATTTACTGACGAATCTCGTTCTGTGTGGAGTTTGCGGATGGCAGAGTTCGTGTGTAGCGACGAAGGGGTGAACGGTTCGACGCCGCCAACGTCATTCAACGTGACCGCTACGGTGGAGGGAGCATGATGGTGCGGGCTGGAACGGGAAAACGGACTTGCTCAGCTTTACTGCGACCAAATCATCATTCTATTCGTCATGCCATTCATGCAGCATCATCCACAGTTCCTGTTCCAACATGACAACGCAAGAGCCCATACAGCGAAACTAAACATGCAGCTGTTGCAGTCATCCAACATCAGGGTACTACCCTGGCCGGCAAGGTCACCAGACCTGTCTCCGATCGAGTATGTGTGGGGCATCCTTGGAAGAAGGGTACGTGAACACCACCCCAACATGCTGAACATCCGTGACCTGGAGCATGCCCTGATGCAGGAACAATATCACCGTCGTTACATGGTCAACAATCTCATTGGCAGTATGCGACGAAGTTGTGCAACCGTTGTAAACGCACGTGGAGCCCACACAAGAGTGGTCTGTGTCAATTTGGTGGTTGCGCCCCGTCCCAACATTCTGTGACGTCAGCGTGCCATCATGGCTTGGTCAGTTCATCGGACATTTTCAGTTTGTGGACATATGGTTCCTCTATACCGAAACATAATCCTTCATAGCATGCCTGTTCTTGGTTCGGTATAAGAGCAGTTTTCCAACATGACATGATTATATACAGACTGTCACAATACAGCTTGAATATTGCTGAGTGTGGCGTTATTCAACAAACAAACATTTTTAACGTCTCGTATATATAACCATGTACATTGCAAATTATTTGTTACAATTTATCCCTAGTGAGTGAGATTAGTTTTACGCCGCACTCAGCAATATTCCAGCTATATGGCAGAGGTCTCTAAATAATCGAGCCTGGACCAGAAAATCCAGTGATCAACAGCATGAGCATCGATCTGCGCAATTGGGAACCGATGACATGTGTCAACCAAGTCAGCGGGCCTGACCACCCGATCCCGTTAGTCGCCTTTTACGACAAGCATGGGTTACTGAAGGTTCATTCTAACCCAGACCTTCACGGGTCAGTTGATCCCTAAATACACTGAGTACACTGGTTCGCTTACCTTGTATCTTTAGTCGGTTCTCCTACAACACGAACACTGAAATTGCTTGACGGCCGACATGGAACTGAATATGGTTTAAGCAAAACCTGTAAAATATATGCATCGTTTGTTACTATGCGAGCATTCTTTGAGACCCGATGAAAAAGAAAATATTAACAAAAATACGAAGTGCACTTTTAGGGAATCTTTTGAATACTGATAGAAACATTAACGTTTCCATTGTAAACTAATAAATGCTCAGATGCAAAATAAACGCAAAGAATGGTAAATGGTATAATTAAAATCATCATATTATACAAATGGCGATACATTTCACGGTGTTTCATCCAAATTGCTCAACATCACTAGGTGATAGCTGGCATTTCCTCAACCGTCCATGATGTCCAATACATCAGACAGTCATTTGACAAGTTTGAGGTACAATCAAGCATGCTCTTTCGATGAAACTTCCAAAATGAGCGATACGATTCCTGCTCCATTTTGTATCGGGATATTAAAGACCTTGATAAAGCTCTAAAAATGTTTTAAGGTAGACATGTGTTGGGTTAAAATAACACGTCAGTGCCAAGAATGACGCAGATGCATGTTCATTTATATTCTTGCGACCTATGTTCCATATGTTCTTCAGCAACCCTTGTCTGCCGTAATAGGACAAAACCTTGGTGGTAAACTTGGTAACTTGGTGCTAACCATTTGTGTAGATCGATGCTCATGATGTCAATCACTATTATCGGAGTGAGTGAGTGAGTGAGTGAGTTTAGTTTTACGCCGCTTTTAGCAATATTCCAGCAATATCACGGCGGGGGACACCAGAAATGGGCTTCACACATTGTACCCATGTAAGGAATCGAACCCGGGTCTTCGGCGAGACGAGCGAACGCTTTAACCACTAGGCTACCCCACCGCCCCACTATCATCGGAACCATACAATAGAGACTGTTGTTAAAAGTGGATTCGAAGCCCCTTCAGAATTCAGCCATATTCTCGCGAGAACGGCGAGGACCCAATTAGAACTCACAGTCTTTGAATAGTTAACCCGTCAAGCTAACCGACTGAGATGAACGTGCACGGACACTCACGGAAAGGATCAAAGGTCAAGGACAAAGTTTACGGACAGCAATTATGCTTCGTCTAGAGCCGTTTACAAATAACAGCGCTAACTGAAGACGGTCTCTGGCGTCAGACGTTGAATGTACAATTGCGCTTGAATGACATGTACATATATAAATTGGTCGTGTGGTTTTGTTTGGGAGGAAACACTGAAAGGACACTAAAGAACAAGGTTGGTTGGTTGGTTGGTTTGTTGATTGGTTTGTTTGTTGTTTAACGTCGCACTCAGCAATATTTCAGCTATATGGTGGCAATCTGTAAATAATCGCATCTGGACCAGACAATCCAGTGATGAACATCATGAGCATCGTTTTAAGCAATTGGGATACGATGACGTGTCAACCAAAAGCGAGCCTGACCACCCGATCCCGCTAGGCACCTTTTACAAGAAGCATTGTCACTAAGGTGACATAATCCCCCACCGCAAATTATCAAATCAAACATAAAAAGTTATGAACATGAAGGTTGTAGTTTAAGATGAAGTTAAATGTCAACAAAAGCATGAACAGTTAACCTGCACCTTCCCATGATGGTGCTTTGTGTCAAATATGAAGACAATACAGTGACTCGTTTGTGAGATGTCTCGCTGACAAGGTGAACATATACGTTAACAAACTGAAATCTGCAAAGTGTCGCCGTGACTTTGAAAACTATGTGAAGGTCACCAAAATCAATTGGGCAATGCGCCTTCTATAGATGAAGCTTGGTGTCACATATGAAGAAAATCCAGACAATGGTTCTTAAGATATCTCGTTGACAAGCTTAACAAGCAGGTTAACAAAGTGTCGCTGTGACCTTGAAAATTATGTGAAGGTAACCAAAATCAACTGGGCCCTTCGCTCTGAAATATGGGGCTATCAAACATAGTCGTGAGATTGAGAGAGTTCAGCTTTAAACGTTTTCTAAATATATTGGCAACACTAGTCCCACTGCTATGGTTTTGGGGTATGTATATACCCTATATATCATAATTTCTTACTTTTCCAGTGTTAGGCAAGGGTAGAAGAATTATACATACGCTTAAGCTTAGCAAATGTGCTCCTAAAAGGTTTTGGTATAGCCATGCTTGTTGAAAGAGGCGAGTTATAATTGGGAGATAAACATACAGTGTTGGAAGATCAGCGTAGCGTTCGGTCTTAAAACAAATTTAGAGCTATTATGATTTCGTTTTAAACCTCTGAGTTACCAACTTACAGCATGTTTATCTTCATTCTACCATAGCTACCATTATTAAGACTTTAAAAAGATACATACTGTTTTTGGAGAATCAAGGGTATATAACGTGGTTATATACCTCGCAATGACCTCACCAATCCACTGAATCAATGATATTTACTTAAGTCGTGGTAGGATGGGAACATTATCATGTGATGGTGAAAAAAAACAAATCCGAAACTTATTTGGTTCGCTCTAATATTTCAAAGAATTAAAAGAAACAATTTTGGATCTTAACTTCCGGGTTCGTCCTTTCCATATGAATACAATTTGGCTGGGTGTTATGGAACAATATTTAAAGAGACTGTCTCCGATTTTTGTTTCGAGAAATTCTGTTGTCTTTACTATTTGTACGCATATATTTCTCCTCAAAGGAATGTTAAGATCTTCCATAAGCCGGTATCTATTGAATCATGTAAAACATTGACAAACATGTTAAACATATGCAATGTTACAGACAGTGTAATGCCTTGGAGACGCCCTATTATGGTCGTAATGTGGATGGAATCACACAAAATTGAATTATTCAAACAATCTGAGAACCAACATCAGACAAAAGAACCACAAACTAAAACCATATACGACTATGAATTCAGAGTTCGTCGTCTGGGTGGGATATGATGCAGCGGCTGTTTAGACATCGTCGTGCTCGTCTCCAGTGGGCCACACATCATCGGAATTGGCGTCACCGGGAGTGACGAACTGTAGTCTTTTCCGACGAAAGCCGATATTGCGTCTCGACGGCTGATGGCAGCGTTTTGCAGATGATTGTGTCCTGGAAAGAGACTCGTGGGGAGGTCCGAGCATAATGGTGTGGGGTGCTATCGCTCTCAATCACAAACGAGACCCTATGGTGTTCCAGAATATTGGTCCCGGTAGAGGAAATGGTGTAACATCTGCCTGCTACGTTGGTCAAGCACTAAAAACCCTTCGTCGTGCCACATTTTGGTCGTCATGGAAACCACGTCTTCCAGCATGACAAGGCGCGTGCCCATACTGCCAGAGCAACTAGAGACTTTCTCCGTCAACACGGCATACCAACTCATCAGTGGCCTGCCCTCAGTCCAGACTTAAACCCGATAGAACATTTGTGGGACGAGATTCAGAGGAGGCTCCATGATGTGCGACCAAGGCCGACAACTGCAGCTGAACTCTCTCAGGCGTATCACCGAGTATGGGCGCAAGTTCATATGGCCTTCATCAACCGTCTCATCCACTTTATGTACAGACGATGCAACGCTGTTGTCAACGCCCAAGGAGGCCATACACGTTATTGACTTTCGGATCGCACTTTCGCGCCACCTGTCGTCATTTTGACTTGTCATTGTCTGAAATTCGTCTTTAAGTATTGATTATCAAACATGTCAGTTTTGAAATCTTTCCGACAATTATTATGTTATTTACATGTGTTTGTATTAAACTGATTACCAATTTCAAAAAGGAGTGACGTTTCTTTTGCCGTTCAGTATATTATTAATGTTAGATTAACGTTGCGTTTCTGTTTTCCTTGCGTATATGTCAGCTTGCCTGATACTGCAGAAACGATGTGAGCCACGAAAATCATACATGTATCTGCTAAGAACAGAGTTAGCAATATATTGCTTATGGTAAGTTAAATTAATTTTGCGTTTCTATTTCGTTTGAGTATATGTCAGCCTGACTGCAGAAATGATGTGAGCCAAGACAAAACTGCTACCAACCGGATTGACCACCTTCATCTGGCCACAGAGACCAGTTATATTCTCCCACTGTCCGGAGGACTGACATGTACTGGTGGACACGTCATGGCAGACCTTGAAGTTCTGACCGCATGTGTAAGATGCCACGTCCCCCTCGGACTGGCCGTCGAAGTTCACGCTGGCCCCAGTGACCTCTGGAGGTTGACCACATCCTTGAAACTCTGGAAAGTAACGTAAAGTTTTAATTAGTGTTACTTTTAAATTAACCATACAAGTGTACACGTGTCGGCGACAATCAAATCACATTTTTCTAAAATTATTTAAATAATTGTAAAGGACAAGTGTTGATCAGTTTTCTTTAAGATTTTGTATTTTAAATTAATGTCCCCTTTACTCTGAAATATATTAGTCCTTAATTGAGAGAGTTCATTATACAGCTTTAAACGTTTTCTCAATATTTTAACACTAATCCCACTGCTATGGTTTTGGGGTATGTATACTCCCTCACAAAAAATTAAGCAACAAGCATTTTCAGTGTAATATTCTTATCAACTTCGATAGCGATTTTTGCCGACATGTTACTGAAAGGTAAATATTGAAAGAATATACATAACATTAAGTGACTGTCAAATTGTTTTATCTCCTCATAACATTGACAACATCACCTCGAACACAACCACCCTCAGAAACAACATGCAAAATGTGGCATGAATGTGCTCCCTCTTCACACATGCACCCTGATTGGTGTAAACCTACCTGTAATCTTTCCTCTGGCACAACAAGCGGGTCCTAACTTCATTTTCTATGGATGAAAATGCCCGTCTATGGATGAGTAATGCCTTCGAGGAAAGAGTTGTTAACGATGCTGTTTAGATCAACAACATCACACATATGGACTGGCCTGCAAGGTCACTCTGATCTCGAATCCAATTGAACATGCTTGGGACATTATTGGTAGTCGTGTTTTGACGGTCTCCATGTTCACCCTCAGACTCTGGATGACCTTGAGCAGGCGTTACAGAGAGAATGGCAGAACATTCCACAACAGCAACTTTAAAGGCTCATTTGGTCAATGCAAAGACCTGTGGAGGCTTTTGCATTTGTGCTCATGGTAGTCATACTCGTTACTGAACACCGCTTCACTGTCCAAAGCTGACTTGAACCTTAATCGTTAACATTTTGCTCCATCAATGCAGCAGCACATTTTGCACGACTGTTTCATGGGTACGTGCTTTGATGATTTGTAAGTCTATTATTGCTCAAAACTATTTCATTTCATTTTGCTAATCGTGTGTACATAGGTTTCAATTCCTTCTATTGCATCATTCAGTGATTTGCAATTTCAATAAATGAAATTGTAATGAGACTACAAATTTGTGTTGCTTTCTAACATTTTGTGAGGAGTATATATACCCTATATATCATAATTTCTTACTTTTCAGTGTTTTAGGTAAGAATTATACATACGCCAAGCAACAAAATGTACTCCTAAAGGATTCAAATCTGCTTATGCTTTGTTGAAAGAGGCGAGCTATAATTAGGAGATAAACATACTGTGTTGGAAAATAAGCGAAGCGTTCGGTTTTAAATCAAATTTAGAGCTATATATAATGTCGTTATATACCTCTAATTTTCCAACACAGCATGGTTATCTTCATTCTGCCATAACCGCGTTATTAAGATTTTAAAAAGATACAAACTGCGTTGGAAAATCAGAGATATATAACGTGGTTATATACCTCATAATGACTCGCAATCCAGTATTTACTTAAGTCATGGTAGGATGGGGCTTAATTATCATATGATGGTGAAAAAACAAATCCGAAACATTTGGTTCGCTCTAATATTTCAAAGAATTAAAAAGAAACAATTTTGGATCTTAACTGGGTTCATCCTTTCCACATGAATACAATTTATCTTGGTGTTATGAACAATATATAAAAGAGACTGTCTCCGAATTTTGTTTCGAAATTCAGTTGTCTTTTATTTGTACGCATATATTTCTACCTCCAAGGAATGTTAAGATCTTCCATAAATAATTACCCGTCTATTGAATCATGTAAAAATATTGACAAACACGTTAATGATAAGCAATGTTACAGACATTTGTCTTGGAGAACGCCCCTATTATGGTCGTAATGTGGATGGAATCCACACGAAATTGAATTGTCAAACAATCTGAGAACCAATATCAGGCAAAAGAACCCACAAACTAAAACCATATACGACTATAATTCAAGTTCGTCGTCTGGTGGGATATGATGCAGCGGCTGTTTACTTTACATTGACGCTTGAATCAATAGACTCAACATTACGGTCGATCATCACTGACCATCACTTCACGAAACTGATCTATTATTGATCACATGGTTTGAAAGAGAATGTTTTATTATTTATGATATTTGTCGATAACGTAAAGGTGAATGATCCCTGCCTGCTTTTTGTTCACATAGTACATTTATACATTGTACACATGATTCGGTGTAGAGTTTCAGGAATTGATCTTGAATGGTTCCATCATGGGCTGTTTAGGGACTGGGTATTTCATGAAGGAAAAATAGTGGATGCTAGTGTGTAAGAACGTTTCGGTCATCATTTGAATGGCACAAAAACGTTTGGTCATCATTCGAAGTGTGTAAAAACGTTTTGGCCATCATTCGAATGGTGCAAGAACGTACGTTTTGATCATCATTCGAAGGGTGCAAGAACGTGTTGGTCATCATTTCAAGGGTGCAAGAACGTTTCGGTCATCATTCAAAGGGTGCAAGAACGTTTTGGTCATCAATCGAAGTGTGTAAACGCGTTTTGGCCATCATTCGAATGGTACAAGAAGGGTTTGGTCATCATTCGAAGTGTGTAAAAACGTTTTGGCCATTATTTAAATGGTGCAAGAAGGTTTCGATCATCATTCGAAGGGTGCAAGAACGTTTCGGTCATCATTTATAAGGTGTAAGAACGTTTCGGTCATCTTTTAAAGGGTGTAAGAACGTTCTGGTCATCATTCAAAGGGTGGAAAACATTTTAGCCATCATTCGAAGTGTGCAAGAACCTTTTGATCATTCGAATGATGAAACAACCTTTTGATCATCTTTCGAAGGATGTAAGAACGTTTTGATCATTCGAAGGGTGACGAAAAAAGTTTAGATCATTCGAAGGATGTAAGGGCATTTTGATCATCGTTCGAATTGTGTTAGAACGTTTTGATCCTCATCCGAAGGGTGTAAGAATGTTTTGATCATCCTTTGATGGGTGTAAAAACGTTTCGGTCATCAATCGAAGGGTGTAAGAACGTTTTGATCATCATTCGAATGGTGCAAGAACGTTTTGATCATCATTCGAAGGGTGTGAGAACGTTTTAATCATCATTCGAAATGTGTAAGACCGTTTGGCCATCATTCGAAGGGTGTAAGAACGTTTTGATCCTCATTCGAAGGGTGTAAGAATGTTTTGATCATCCTTTGATGGGTGTAAAACGTTTCGGTCATCAATCGAAGGGTAAGAACGTTTTGATCATCATTCGAAGGGTGTGAGAACGTTTTAATCATCATTCGAATGTGTAAGACCGTTTGGCCATCATTCAAAGGGTGTAAGAACATTTTAGCTATAATTTCAAACATGTAATTATCAGTGATAAAATATTCAGTGGCCTTCTCGTCTTCTATATTAGTAGGACACACCAATGTAGAGGTCGGAACATATAAGCAGAAAGTGAACGTAATGTACAGTGAAAGTCGGACTGCAACATCTTGCAGATTGACACAATTGATTGAGTGGAATCATGGATGCTCGTCCATGCGTTTACATGCCTTCATATGTCGGCATTCCGTTTTGTACCTTTCTTACCATACTCATAGAAACGAATAAGGGAACACATGAAAGTACAAGTGTTCCTTTATTTATTTCCAGATTTTCATCCACAGTGCAATACATACCTTGTGAAGAAACTTGAAAAGAATAAAGGAGCACTTGTACTTTCATGTGTTCCCTTATTTGTTTCCATGAGTATACATTGAATACAATTGGCGTTGGCCTGATATATATCTTATTTCAATCTCTCCATCTTACCTTATATTGCATATGACGGCAATAATTATTCTTAACATCATGAAGCGTCATAGATATGACCCCGTGAAGATCTGGGTTAGAATCGGTCTTCAACAACCCATGCTTATCGTAAGAGGCGACTAACGGGATCGGGTGACACATGCCATCGTATCCCCATACCGTAAAATGATGATCGTGTTCTTGATCACTGGATTAACTGGTCCAGACCAGACTATTTACAGACCGCCGCCATATAGCTGGAATATTGCTGAGTGCGGCTTTAAACAACAAACAAATCATCAATATGACTTACCTGGAACACACGTGGCACTGCCAAGTCGATCTACTTCGCACCTAGATGCCAATGGGCAGGACAAGACAGCACATCCCCCAGACAGAGACTACAAACCAATATGAACTAAGTGAGTAAACATTTGACGTAGCGTCAGTTTTTCAAGGCAAATAGTCCTGAGAGAGTATGTAAGTCTCAATACTTTCAAAGTTTATTTAACTCTTCCAAGCCTTTTAATCGTAGAATATTTGTCTTTGTTTTTTTTTAAATAATGGATAAATGTTAGTATTATCGCCAGTGGCTGAAGGGATAGTGTAAATCCAGCTAGGGTCCATGCAGGTAGCAAAAATAATGTAAGTCACCATGGTCCGTAGTATGGTGAGTATGGTTTTACGCCGCTTTTAGTAATATTCCCGCAATATCACGGCAGGAGACACCACAAATGGACTTCACACAATGTACCCATGTGGGGAATCGAACCCGGGTCTTCGGCGTGACGAGCGAACGCTTTAACCACTAGGCTACCCCACCGCCCCCGTGGTATGGTGAGTCAACCTTTAGTTTCTGGCGAATTCAGTCTGGTTTTTTATATATTGTGTTGTCCTGACTTAAGTCCAGTTTTAGAGAGTTTAAGATGCTAATTTTATTCTTGTTTCTGTGACATTCTAGTTTTTGTAATGTCCTTTGGTGACAGATTTTATAGATAACATTAAAGTTTAAGTATGACTTGTTTAAGTCACGATATGGCTGAAATATTGTCAAAGAGACTTTAAATTTTAACTCACTCACTCACCCAAGGCAAATAGCAATGAGACCGAGTTCACACCTATACACAAGTCCATACAAACTCAAAAGTCAAGAAATTTTATATAAAAACACTTTCATATTCCAGTATTATGTACAATTTAAAACATGGGATGCAAGTCCACATACAAAAACAAGCAATTAGTTAGACGCATACATATTTATAGATTATTGTATAGATCAATTTCTTTCAATTCATTATCATGAGATGCCAGTCTACAAGGGTAAACAATGGTTATCGCTTATAAGATCGATAATGGGAGCTCAGTAATAGATTGCAATCGAAAACCTTACCGCAAAACAAATGTGGGCAACAACGGGACACAACCTTAGCACTGTGCAAACTCAACAGGGCCAGATTAGTACTATGATCAAGTCGATTGATGTTACTTGGGGTGCATCCCTGTGTTGTGGTTTCGGAGACCCGTGAAGATCCGGGGTAGAAAAGGTCTTCAGCAAACCATGCTTGCCACAAAAAGGCGACTATGCTTGTCGTAAGAGGCGACTAACTAGAGGATCGGGTGGTCCGGCTCGCTGACTTGGTTTACACATGTCATCGGTTCCCAAATGCGCAGATCGATGCTCATGCTGTTGATCACTGGATTGTCTGGTCCAAACTCGATTATTTACAGACCGCCGCCATATAACTGGAATATTGCTGAGTGCGGCGTAAAACTAAACTCACTCACTGGTTTCGGACGTTAAAGAACAATTGTCAGTGACATAATCAATTATAAAACACGTGACTAACTTATACATGTAAATGGCAATTTAATCTGAACAACAAAACAACCCCTAATTCGAATATTGACAGTGTCTGTGTGAAGCAACATACCTCACGATAGCACGAGTAAACACTGTCGCCGAAAACATAATAATGTTCTAAAATATAGTCCGACTATCATATCCTGTATTAATATAATCTGGAATCGATAGCAAGTTTTTATGAATGTACACAAAGCATTCCTTCATTCCACCTTCGTTCAACAACACATATATAACAATATCCCATATTGAAGTCACTGTTTCATTACTCATCCCGCAGTGAGGTAACCTTGTGGTTAAATTGGTCGATCGTCACAACGAAGACCCGGGTTCGATTCCCCACAGGTGTACAATTCGCGTCTGGTGTCCACTGCCGTCATATTGCTGCTACAAGCGGCGTATGACTCAACTAACTCACTCACTCACTGCGTGCTCTACGATCTACTGAATATTTACGAGGTATTACATTGCTCGTATATACACGTCACGTTATGATTCCTTATTGCTGACAATAAGGAAGCAACAATACAGACACACCAAACATTCAGCCAGGTAACACGACCTAGAAACCTCCAGGACGGCAGCGTCGAGATATACTGGACAATAATAGTTAGGGATATATGTAGATTTTTGAAATTATGAATAATGATGTATCTATTCATTGACACATTGATAAAATATCAATCATAAAATACCAATATCCCTAACTTATTTTGTCCAGTATATTTTGAAAAACGATACGAAGTGGCTGTTGTGATTGATCTATGTAATATTCATGTTTCATAACACTATAAAATGCTATAAAATTCAACCCAGAGTGACGGCAATACCAAATGTACACTACTTAATAAAAGACATGATATATATAATACTCTTCAAGAAAAAGAAGAAAAAAGAAACGCATAGGTAATTTTCAGAATATTGGACTCATGGAGCAATACAAACAATAAATAAAACAATACAAACATTCTATTTCTTTCCAAATACTTCATCTTTGTGTGGTTGTTAACAGTTTCACCGCTAAAACGCGGCAATTTTTATTTTTTCTCTTGTATTAGAAGCGTTTGAAGATATTTCTGCCAAAACGTCACCAAGAAAACATGCAAAGCAAAATGCACGTGTAAGTAAACGCACAAATATGCGGTATCGCTCGCTATAAAAGAGAAAACGTTGTGTTTAATTTTGCTATTCCTTTTTGCCCCGAAAAGAGGACATCATCATGCCACGACTGAGTGCCGCCAATCGAAACATCGCCATAGGGCGCCTTGAAGCTGGGGAGTCGCAGTCTGCAGTTGCCCGACATTTCAAGGTTCATCAGAGCACCACATCTCGCCTTTGGGATCGTTTCCTGCAGAACAATTCCGCCAAAGATCGCCCGAGAAGCGGCAGTCTAAGAGCTACCACCCAAGCCCAGGACCGCTACATCATGGTTGTTCACTTGCGTAATCGTCTTGCTACAGCCATGGAGACTGCACAACGCATCCCTGGTTTGAGAAGAATTTTCGACAAAACTGTCATTAATCGATTGGAGTGGGGATTCGACCAAGAAGGCCAGTTGTCGCCCCTGTTTTGAGAAACTTCCATCCGCGCAATCGTTTGCGGTGTCTCGTAGAGTCCGGAACTGGAACCTTAGAGACTGAAGGCGAGTCTGGATCAGTGATGAATCACGATGTCTTCTTCATCGGCGAGATGGAAGACATCGTGTTTACCGTCAGAGAAATGTACGTTTTGCCCCTTATTCCACAGGTCGACAGGTCGACATGTTCGTTGGAGGACATGTCATGGTGAGGGGTACCATATCAAGCACACACAGATCTGATTTAGGGGTGGTTCAGGGGATATTTCACAGCAAATCGGTACACCATCCTTGCACGTCACATGATTCCGATTTTGGACCTGCAGAGGGAGTTGTTCCAGCATGACAATGCTATTTCACATACAGCACGCGTAACGGTCTTGTCATGACCTTCCCCATCACAAGATCCAAACCCAATAGATAACCTATGGGATGAACTCGATCGACAGGTACGTCAACGTCAAAACACTCCTGAGTGTGTGGGTTTTTACGCCGCTTAAGCAATATGCCCTGTTTTAGCAATATTTAATAAATATCACGGTGGGGGACACCAGAAAAGGGCTTCACACATTGTGCCCATGTGGGCAATCGAACCCGGGTCTTCAGCGTGACGAACGAAAGCCTAAACCGCAAGGCTACCCCACCACCCCTGTTTACAAGACTAGCAGTCAAACATTGTTTCAGTACAGAGTTGTTCTGTTTATGAATCAATTCTTCACTGCAATAGTGACGACAGTGATAACTGTCATGAAATGGCTTCTTTGTGTGTATTAGAACACTGATGAAAAGGGAAAATGAAAATTGACTGTTTGGCAGATGAATGAATAAGGTATATTAAGCTATATCATGAAATATACAATTTAAATCTAGAAGACATCTTCTTACCTTAGGCCAGCGTTCAATGTCGCTAAAGATTAAGCTTGGATGAGGAACAACGTCGACATCTGCACTGCTGTTTCGATTCAGGAGACACATTTGTGTCAGAGGTTCGAAAGCAAAGGACAGACAGGCGGATGACATGATACATTCAGAGGCACAGGCGTATAATGAAATACTTCTGAGTCGCCTGAACACCTGGTGTTCCATGTACTTGTTATTCTGCACAGCTGAAGTATCGTTAAAGCAGCTGTCTGACTTCTTCAAAACCATCAAAATAAGAATAACCATATGGCTGATTGATACTTCCATCCTATTTAGTTTCTCACGTTCATGTACCAGTTCTAAGGATGGGTAGACCGAGTGTATGAAAAGCAGCGTGCGAACCTTGGCAAATGGCCAGATCAGCCGTCACATGATCCGCACTATAGAGTCGTGTGCAACATAACACCCCAACGTCCGTGTTTCAGTTAGGAAGCAACCATTTCATTCCCGGGTGGGTCGGGTAGTGACTCTTACATATTATTCTATTCAGAACCCCAGTTTTACTAATACAAAGTATATATGCCTCTCACTTTACAAAAACAAACACTTTAACCTTGCTTGATTACATACAAGTGCCCACGAACAGAGTTTGTTATTTATATATTTCAATAACAAATTTGAACTCAACTCCTGTTTATGTCAACAAACACCTGTACTTATTAACTGCGTTTTGTTGACACAACACGGAAGACAAGCCTCGCTGTTATCAGAAGACGTGGTCCCAGCCATTAACACAAGTGCCAAAAATCATTATCTCTTCTTCGTCGTCACGGTGTATGTGTATATATGTACACAAAGACGCCAAAAATGAACGTTGTCGCTGTTATGTGTTGATGCAGTCGTGACGAAGATGCCACCGTTTCGAGACTATTTGATCATAATTAAAAGCGAACGTTTATGTCCACAAGATCACATACTGTGAACAAATAATGTGTTTTCAAATGTCGTTTAACAAATACTGGGACATTTTTCGATTTCGGATTAAAAGTCTCCAGGTAGAATGATCTTTAAATAGCAAAGATCTCAAAGTTGTTTGTGTTCTGTTACAATGCACCCTTGGCAACAGATGCATTTCACCAGATGTAATGCTGGAATATACTCCTTTTCGACTCTTACAAGAAGAATAGGCTGCTGAAGAGTGAGTGAGGTTAGTTTTACGCCGCACTCAGCAATATTCAAGCTATACGGTGGCGGTCTGTAAATAACCGAGTCTGGACCAGACAATACAGTGATCAACAGCATGAGCATCGATCTGCGCAATAGGGAACCGATGACATAAGGTCAGCCAAGCCCGCGAGGCCTGACAACCCGATCCCGTTATTCGCCTCTTACGACAAGCATTGGTTACTGAAGACCAATCCTAACCCTTATCTTCAAGGGTCGTTGGCCTTTAACAAGCGGTGATAACACACCTTGTGTAATGGGAAACTCCTCACATCTTCGTCTGTTGTATGATAAAAAAGTCCATCTGTCCTTGTGGGTATGGGTTTCATCGTTATCCGTTAACACCAAGACATGCAATTTTAGAAATAGACCACCATACCAAATACAAACAAAATGTTAGTTTTATCTAACATGTAACAAACACTTGTGATTCTCTTTATTGGATGGGTATAGGAGGAATCAGCGCCATGACCTCATCCATTACGGAGTAACTTAAGACAACAGTACAATCGTCAGCTTCGATGTTTTATCGGTGAGCTGTATGTGATAATTATACAGCCCCTTATAGTCGTTTTGGGTATTATTATAAACCAATACAGACCAGATATATCAATCTCTTAAACATTCAGTCTTCCACATATGCGTTGTATCTGGTTGTCTGTGAGATAATTTACATAACTTCCGACGGACCCGCTGGCGATGTGTCTGTCTATCTGTGAGATAATTAAGAGAACTTCCGACGGACCTACTGGCTATGTGTCTGTCTATCTGTGATATAATTAAGAGAACTTCCGGCTGAACCGCGGGCGATGTGTCTATCTATCTGTGAGATAATTAAGAGAACTTCTGGCTGAACCGCTGGCGATGTGTCTATCTATCTGTGAGATAATTAAGAGAACTTCTGGCTGAACCGCTGGCGATGTGTCTGTCTATCTGTGAGATAATTAAGAGAACTTCCGACGGTCCTACTAATGATCAATACTAACGGGATCGGGTGGTCAGGCTCTCTGAATTGGTTGACACATGTCATCGATTCCCAATTGCGCAGATCGATGCTCATCCTGTTGATCACTGGATTGTCTGGCCCAGACTCGATTATTTTAAGACCGCCGCCATATAGCTGAAATATTTCTGAGTGCGGCGTAAAACTACTCCACATTCGACCGACTTGGCTGGAATATTTCAGATGCAAAATCAGGAAACAAACAAATCGACAAAAGACAAAGTACACTTTCTACATATTTACTTTTGCTAAAGTAATGTTGAACATTAAACTGTCAGCTTCATGTCTGGTTTTCTGTCCTAGAGTGGAAAGATTCTAACTGAGCCTTCCCGATGGCGCAAGGTTCGTGTCGTCGTCTGTCAGCTGGAAAAACAACAATACATATGGATTCCTCCTTTGTCACATCTGTTGAAACACTGCTAATACGTAGGGTACATCACGACGTTAAGAATATAGATTAATGGTAGAAATTGTTATTGATAAAAGGGGTGAACTGTATTGACACTATCGTTTGTCATTATCAATGTTCTTTTGGAATATGAAATCTATATTTCGGGAAATAGGTTCATGGTCAATGCATTGTGATTACTTAAGGGCACTGGTGCCATTCTTTGTGATGAGAGATGTGGTCATCTGATACTTCAAAGTCAACATTTCCTCGAAATGGTCGAAAACTACTCTTTTCGTATGCGAGTCCCAGAAGAAAATGCAGAGCTCACAGTAGTACGCCTGTTCACATTTCCCTGGACAATGCAAAGACAACCAATATTTGCAGTGAATCCAAGCTAGTTGTTTCAGTGCAATAATGAAGAGAAGGGATTTATATAGTTTTTCATACTGACTAAAATCCTGTACAATTTTTCGCACTTTTTGGTGTCCATCCCACTTATTGGCCGAAAAAATATTAACTCACGAAATTGCTTGCATGATTACATTTAATACCATCTCTACCTTATTGTGCTATTCAAACACTAAATCCTACTTGAGGAAAATGTCCTCTTTTGCATGACCCAGTGGTTTTACTCTACCATTGATCATATTCGCTTTATGTACTATCTCGGTCAAAAATCTACTTTTACTGTTTGTTCATTTACTGTTTTGACAGCTGTTACTTGCAGATTCGGTAAGGGTGAGTGGTGTGCTAAGCTTCATTGGACATAGTTCCAAAGGCTTCCTGATCCGCAGAATAATACAGAATGATCTTGAAACGGCTAGAAGGGGCTTATTCTAGAATAAACATGCCTCAGTGATTATTGAGGAATTTAAGTTTCCCATCATCCTTTTCTCACGTACTAAAGGAGAGATAGTTGCTGCCTCTCATCGTACATTACATCTCAAGCAACAAGAAGACCAACATATGTGATGATCTAACACCTTGGGAACTCTTCTTAAATGGATTACTGTTTCCGGGTGCCGGTGAATATAAGCGTCATTGTCTTTTGTGGTATAACCCAGCTCTTGTATTGTACCTGTATTACCATTGAATTTGTACTGGAATTCTAATCTGTACTGCCAAAGTGATGCGTTTGTATTGGCTGTGAACTAAATTAATTGTATACTACAATTGATAATTACAGCGTCTTAGCGTCTTTGTTTGTTGTTTATCGGTTTCACCCCAAATTCTTTCAGGGACTTATTCTTGGTTAACTTTTTACTTTCATCTTTGGAATCAAATGTAAGTCCCCATGGTTCCTAGTATGGTGATCTACCTTCAGATGCTGGCGATCTATAGCCCGTGTTTTATATTGTATTGTCTTCTTTAATTACACTGTTTTAGTTTTACATGCTAGTTTTATGTTCATATCTGTGATACTCTGATCTGTATTTTTACTGTCCATCGTCGACAGCTTTAACTCTTCACAATGTTTTCATTTTTTGCATTATATAAATTGTCTTCGCCCGAAATGGCTGAGATATTGCCGATGTGACGTTAAATATCAACTCACTCACTCACTGTTTGGAATCAACAAGTGCATTTATTGTTATTGCTGCTTCTAAAACTGATAGAGAACAATCCCAAGACACACTACCTTTGTTTGAATCCACCTTCTCACTGGTCCTCCATACGGGCAGCCCCGTCCACATCCATTGACTTCAAAGCCTTTATCGTGATCATGAGGACGAGCATGACTAGGATGGCGACCATTGTACTGACTTGCTACAGAATTACTATACAGTGCCCAGCAGCCAAGTGTACAGGTCTCGCTAGTGTGTTAATGTAACAACTGTGTCGCTTTATATGACATTTGATGAAGTATTTACATGGTGTTTATTGTCCAATGCTAATGTTTTCCAGAACAGTAATCCAGTCGTAAATACAATTGCTTGAAGGCTTGTAACTATCGGAAGTGATTCCATGCAAATGATGTTAGAGAACAATCAGTCCACGTCAGTTATCAGTATCAATCATAAGCCTATAGTAAAAGAAACAAATAGCAATTACAATGAAAACAAAAGTGTCTTTTGAAGTTTGTCTGGTGTTTAGACAATAAAACTAGTGAAATAGTCACTCGATGAGGAAAAATTCAATAGTTTTTGAGCTGCCATAAGACATTGTGGTTCCGATACTTTGAACGAGCATGATTTCAATGAACAGCGGCGTACTCAATTTCATATTCAACAAAGAAGGCAAACAGTGTTTCCATGGATATGAGAGGTAACTGGAATAGCGTCATGATTCCATCATTAATAAAGTCACTTAAAGAAGTTCATTTTATAAACAATTTTAGAGAGTTAAGGGCCATTTGCTGTTTTATGTGATGATGAGTGAGTGAATGAGTTAAGATTTTAAGTCACATCGGCAATATTTCAGCCATATCGTGACTAAATTAAGTTATAGATATTAATAACTAAAGGTAACTTATAAAATTCTGTCAACGAAGGACAGTGGAACAACTAGATTATCACAGATATAAATGTAAAACTAGTAATTAAATCTAACATATTTTAACTATACATGACAATACAATATATAAACAGGCTATAGATTGCCAACAACTGAAGGTAGATCGACATACTAGGGTCCATGCAGGAAGCAAATGGTCCCTAGCTGGATTTACACCATCCCTGCAGTCGTTAGCAATTCAGACAAATCTAGCCATACATTAAAAAGACACATATTTACGATTAAAAAAGTGGAAAATTTAAATTACTTTGAA